AATTCTGGGAATTGAAGTCCACCATTCTTAAGCCTCAGCTGGCTGGGGAATTCTGGGAGTTGAAGTCCACCATTCTTAAGGCTTTGCCGGCTGGGGAATTCTGGGAGTTGAAGTCCACCATTCTTAAGGCTTTGCCGGCTGGGGAATTCTGGGAGTTGAAGTCCACCATTCTTAAGGCTTTGCGGCTGGGGAATTCTGGGAATTGAAGTCCACCATTCTGAAGGCTTTGCCGGCTGGGGGATTCTGGGAGTGGAAGTCCTCCCCTCTTAAAGCCTGCTGCAGTTGAGAAAGACCGATCCAGACTGACTTGATACCTGCTGGGAACCTGCGTTTTCCACTCTGCCCTGTTTTCCCAAGGCTTGGCTGTATGCGTGTTGCAATCCTCCTACTCTGGGCTCCTCCAGGCAGCTGACGGGCCCCCTCCCTTCCAGCCCAATTTACCCAACCACTGGCAAAACAACAGAAACGGGGCTGGTTCCATCCCAGGGCCCGGCTTTCCCACCCCAAAGGGTGTCGCAGATACAATCTGGAGGAGAAACTAACTGCAGAAGAAGCCAAACTGGTCCGAAGTGGAAGAATTCTGAACGGATGCCGGGAAACCAGCAGCTGGGAGCCACAGATATATTTATTTCTACATTTCTATGTTTATCTAGTAGTCGGTTGCATTCATTTCCCACCTGACTCTCTCAATAAACATATAAATCAGAGGTCTTCAAAGTTGCCAACTCTGAAGACCTCTGCTACAAATGGTCAGATTAGTCCTCGGCTTACGGCCATAATTGAGCCCCACATTTCTGTTGTCGAGTGAGACGTTGGTAAAAGCGAGCGTCGCCTCGTTTTACGACCATACTTGCCACCGCTGTTAAGCGAATCGCCACAGGCGGTAAGCGAGCAGCGGGGTTCCCCCCTTCGCTCGTCACGACCTTCGGGCACAGCCGCCGTCGTAAGTATGAGTCACCTGCCGAGCCCTCTGAGTACTGATCCCACGATCCTCGGTGGGGTGCCACAGAGGTCGTACGTGTGGAAAAAAACGGTTGCGAGTCACATTTTTTTCAGTGCCTGAATAGCAGCCTCCCTCCAAGGGGAACCCGCCAGGTGCGTTGGGAATTCTAGTTCCTGAAATTTGGCACTTAGGGGAAGCCTGGATTGCAGGCAGTTCTTGGCTTGCTTTCGTTTAGCGCCCGTTCGGACTGGCAACGGCGCTGGAAAAAGTGATTCGCGGCCATTCCTCGCAATTACGACCGTCGCAACATCCCCACGGTCACATGATCAAAGCCGAGGCACTTGGCAACCAGCATGCCTTTATGACGGTGGCAGTATCCTGGGGACACACAATCACCTTTTACCAGCGGGGGGGGGCACTGGATTTGCTTAGCGACCATGTGATTCACTTAACAACCATGGGGGAGAGGTCGTAAAATCAGGTATGGTTCACTTAACAACCACCTGACTTACCGACATACATCCTGGCCCCAAGGATACCATTTATACAATATATATTTTTTTTCCATTTAGGATCGTAAGCCTCCCGGAGTTACCGTAGGCAATACATTTGATAAGTAAATAATTTTGGTCGTAAATCAAGGACTACCTCATCTGTGCGACTGAGCTGTGGGTGGCCAGAAAAGTCCCTTCCAACGCTGCAGCCCCATAAACTGGCTGAACCGACCAGCCTTCAGCCTTAATTGCTCCCTGAAATGAGGTTTTTTTCAACCTGCATTTCAATGAGCCGTTTAATTATTGGGTTACACTCAAAACAGCTGTACAGCTGTTTCATGACGGAGTGGCCATCCTTTAAGTCCTCCGCTGAGTTAACATGCACAGCAGGCCTGGGGAACTTTTCAACTTACACACGCACACCCCAAAAATACCCCAATATTCCTGACATTTCACCCCAAACATTTAATCTGACCACTAGCCTTCCCCTATGTTGCTCGCCTTGGGGTAGGCGCTAAACAGATCAGAAATCGTGAGCTCTGAAAGGCAGTGTTTTACGGGCCGTCCTCGACTTACGACGGCCCGCTTAGCCACCGTTCAAAGTCACAACGGCATTGGAAAAAGGGATCTACGAGCATTTTTCACCCTTACGCCCGTTGAAGCATTCCCCCGTGGTCGCGGGATTTACATTCAGACAACTGACTCACATTTACGACGGTTGCGGTGTCCCACGTGATCCCCTTTTTGCGGCCTTCCGGCCAGCGAAGTCAATGGGGAAGCCAGATTCACTTAACAACCATATTAGTAGCTGAACAACTGCAGGGATTCTCTTAACAACCGTGGCGAGAAAAGGCGTAAAACGGGGCAAAACCCACTTAACGAATTTCTCACTTAACGACATAAATTTTGGGCTGAATTGTGGTCGTAAGTGGAGGACTCCCCGTATATTGTTCCCTACAACCGAAGTAAAAATGAAAACACACAGGGGAGTGCAGGTAAGTCCTCAACTTGCGACCATTCATTTAGTAACCACTCGAAATTTTCCACCACTGGAAAAAGTGACTTATGACTACTTTTCACACTTACGACCGTTGCAGTATTCCCATGGTCATGTGATCTACATTCAGACGCTTGACAACTGACTCACCTTTATGACGGATGCAGTGTCCTGGGGCGATCCCCTTTTGCCACCTTCCGACCAGCGAAGTCAATAGGGAAGCCTGATTCACTTAACAACCGTGTTCCTGACTTACCACCTGCAGGGATCCACTTAACAATTCTAGCCAGGAACGTCATAAAACTGAGGTAAAACTCACTTAACAACGGTCTTCCTCAGCAACAGACATTTTGGGGCTTGGTTGTGGTCGTAAGTCGAGGACTAGCTGACGTTCACTAGCTTGTAAAGCTCTTTCCACCACCCACCACCAAATCTTTGCAACGGACGTAAGTTGGAATTTTAGCACTTCCAAGATCAAATAAACTGGGCCAAAACTCTAACAACGGTTTTTGTTTGGCAACAGAAGTTTTGAGCTCAATTGTCGCCGTAGGTCGAGGACTACTATATGTTCAGGCGGTACAGTCAGGAAAAATAATATCGCACAACGTCCTATCCAGCCGCAATTCGTACCAGCACTTAAATCTCAAAATATCAGCCTGACCAATCCTTATTTTGCGCTGGAATTTTGCCCGAGGGATTTTGGGCAGCTTTTTCTCAAAATAGCTTCCGCTAAGAGGAAGAAAAATGTATTTTGAATCACCGGCCTTCCTAAAAATATGCCTCTTTAATGCACACATACCGACCGACACACCGAGTCAGCAGCACAGGCCGGAAACGCCTCCACCCAATTTAAGGGCTCAACGGCCACACGGCCCCTCCCTGGCCTGAGCCGGCTTGCTGGTGGAGGGTTCAAAGGACGATGGACGGGGGCCAAGAGACTATTTGGACAACGTTGCTGTTTATCCTGACCGTCCCCCATCACACGAAATAGTGTAGCCCAGGGATGGAGAATCTTTTTGGCGCTGAGTGTGCATGCACTCCAGCGCGCATGCTGTAGTGCCGGAAATCCAAAGATCAGCTAGCTTGCATGCCTGTTTATTATTATTATTATTTATTAAATTTGGTTCCACCACAAAACCGCGCTCGATTAAACCGCGTCCGACTAAACCGCGTAGCTGACGTCATCAACAGGGC